ATTCCATTATAAATATTTTTGTTCATTTTTTTCGACAAATATTGCTACATTTTTTTTTTAAAAAATTTCGACGTTTTTTACAGCTTAATTATTATTGATACTCTCGTGTTGTTATTTTTCTAAATATCAATATTATTACGGCACATGAAGTTTGAGTCTATGGTCTTAGAAATCACTCTTTGACACACTCGTTTAGCGCCAATACCATCGTTAATCTATTAGGTGTTTCAATCGTTCATTCGATAATTATTGCTATGAATTTTCACTTTTTTTAAAGAAAACTCAATGTTTTTTATACACATATTTACTTTTATTATTTTATTTTCAAACTTAGTTACTTTTATATATTTTATTATACATATTTACTTTTACTTTGACAATTTCCTTTTTTTTTCGACTTTTCAGCAGTTATTTCTAGTAAAGTCCTGAATACCTGCTATTTCAGGCTTTAATTGCTAGTGCAACCAATTTCCTCAGGGTGTTTAGAATTCCAGTCATTTATCAGTTAATAATATTTTTATTACACGTAAAATTTTAATCGCCCAATTAAATTATAATTTTTTGCAGCACTCAACTTAAGCCGATAGTATCGTAAATCCACATCGTGTCTGATTGACTGCTTTTTTGGCAGTTTTTGGTATTGATTTTCACATGGTTTTTAAATATCCTGATATCAGGGTGCGTAGCCAAATCTTTCATCAAAAAATAAGCACCTTTTGAGTACTTTTTAAGCACTTAAAAAATATTTTTAACCAGTACATAAATTACTTTCAAAGACTTTACATGATCATGATAAAATAGTTTCTGACAAAGAACTCTTTTCTTGATTAATATAGCCATTATAAAAAGATAGAAAAATTTTTCCGTTCAATTTCAGAGGGAGGAAAATGAAGCCAGAAATTGAGAATCACTGGCAAAATGCAGCCGAGTTGCACATGAGAGTGCAAGAATAATTCTCACTGAATCCATAAGTATATGAATATGCGGACCCGCAAGCATTTCATCAAACATGTAAAATGATTGGCGCTTTCATGCGCTACGGAATGACGGTATGCCGAAATGCATTGTATTTGAATGATTTGTGAAAACGTTGAATAGAACAATGCAAAGACCACGCTTTTGAATAATGCGTGGTGAAAATCGACATGGTAGAGAACAAAAAATCTCATCTTCGAAAAAAGGAAAATTAAGCACTTTTTAAAAACACCCAATAAAAAAAGCACCTTTAAGGGCTTTTAAAAAATGTAGATCAAAAATAAGCACTTTTAAGCACTTTCTAAAAACGCTATGTTTCAAACACAGCACTTCTGTTACTTTAAATTAATAACATGTATATTTGTTATTATTGAAAGCATCTTGTAGAAAGACATTAATGACAGAGAGTTTTGTCACAGAATGCCCAAAAACATTTTGCCACAAGGGAATCCTTAAGAACAAAATTTTCAAAAAAAATCAATAGGTGGAACATAATTCAAGAGAGAAATGTCTAAAATTGAATTATAAATGTATCACCAACTTCTTTCTACTAAACTTTACTACTTTACTGATACATTCTTTAATAAATGTATCATCAACTTCTTTCTACTAAACTTTACTACTTTACTGATACATTCTAACATAATGCAGTAGATGAAGCAAGTGAAATAAAATGTAATAGTTTAAGTCTTAAACATAATATTTTATAAATAGGGTTTCTGATTGGGATCCTTTCAAAAGATAAGGATTTGAATGTTTCCTGTTGGTGACAATTTCTCTTCAACATTCCTCTCTCACATCAATTCTAGATTTTACATGTTAGTTATAAAAAAAGGCTTTCATGACTTTTCTAATGACCTTTCTGACCCTTTGGTTCTAATAACCTTATTTAGATATAAAATTATTACATCACAAAATTTGGTCTTTCTCAGGCATATTCTGGTTTTAAATAATCTTGTGTATCTCAGGCTCAAACTAAAATTCTTCAAGTTCGGGGGGGGGGGGGCTTGGGGNNNGGGGGGGGGGGGGGCTTGGAGCTCCTAAAATAAGCTTTGGAGGGTTTTCACCTTCAAAAGCAAGTCCCAAATTGTCTCAAGTAGATTCAACCTTTAAACCCTTCCAAGAATGAAATATGTATTGTATATTTATATTTAGTTTAATAATCTTAACATTTATATATTTCTGTACAAATATTAATTTAGTGTCACAAATAAAGAAAAAACTAACGCATTAAAGACTTTAGTTTCTAATATATTAGCAAGAATAGTTTACAATGTAAACATAGGCACTTGAAATTAGTAAGTGCTATTAAATATATATAGTAAAGAGATAAAAAAAAATGTAGACTTTCATAAAGGAGAATTTTTTTACTGTTTGGACAAATAAGGCTAAGTTACAGTGAACTAAGTATTTATTAGTTTTTAACTACTGTCCTATATGTTGCTCTATTTTTCAAGCATTTTAAATAAATTTGTCAAATTTTAATGGTCTACAACATTAGAAAGATTGCATACTTCTTTTTTTATACAGAGGAGATCAAAATTTAATAAGACCAAAAATATGACTTACTCCTTTACCCTGAAATGCAAAAAATTGTAATGAACAATGTAATGATGCAAAAAAATGCTTTTGTTGGAAAATACTTGAATAATTAAAATAGGATAATAGCTTTAAAGAAATGTTGTAAACTATAAAAATAAATTTTTATAGAAACAAGTCAATTAGTGCTTATTTTTAAAAAAAATTAAAAACTGCAAAAAATAATACATTTGACCATTTTTTATCACTTTTATATCATCCAAATTTTAACACAAATTGCATGATTAATTAAATATAGAGTTTACAATGAAAAATCAACACCTTATGCAAAAAAAGTAAAACTAAGACAACTTCGTCAGACTGGTTTGTTTTTCTAAATTGTTTCGAACAGTTTTTAAAGGAAATTCTAAGGTTAATAAATTTCAATGTACTCATTTCCTAACAAGAAATCACTGGGTGTTATAAAACAATTACAAAAATGCTTAAAATATGAATATTTTTTTTACATCCCGATTAAATTCCAATCAAAATAATAAATTATGAAATATAACTAACTGGAAAATTCTAAAGTACTTCTTATAAAGAAATTTAAATATAAAATATAAACTAAAAAAAATAATAACACAATCTAAATTTTAATTAAGAAAAAAATTCCTTATATACCAAACAAATCATATAGATAATGCAAAATAATACAGCTGTCACAATAAACCAAAATTTAAATGTATATTTGTATAACAGTTACACAGGGTGGCCAAAGTAAAAGCTGCCTGCCATACATTTATAATATCAATAATAGCTTATGCAGTGAAACTTGTCAAGTCGACCTCCACTATCATAAATTAAATTTATCCTACATATGAGAGCAGTAAAACCTTCGAAACCTGAATATTTGTCGACCTTATACGTATAAATCACAATTGTCAAAATCCCTTTTGATTAGGTTTTCTATGCTAGCATATTATGTATTAGAATTTTTAAGAGTTGAAAAATTAGACCCTTTTAAATTGTCTACATGAAAGTATTAGACTTATTTATATTTTAAGGAATTCTATTCATCTTTTTATCTTTTGTTGTTTTTTAGTCTTTTTTTTTTATCCAAATAGGAAAAAGGATTATTTTTGTAGCAAGTAGGTGTATAAGCATAGTAAAATAAATGTTAAAATGTTGCAAGGATTATTGTATTAAGTATTCTGATGGCATATGTTCTTTGGGTATTTTAAGAAATTATTTATAGCAAATAACTGGTATATCCTTCTAATAAAATATTCATCTTTGCTCTCTTAAACTAATCAGTTTAAAAGTGTTAAATTTATGTAACAAATAATAATTTATTCAGTTAATTAACTACATTTTTAAGATACAAGGAGCATTTGCTAAATGAAATTTTAAAGCAATGCTAAAATTTTAATTTCATTGGGACACAATCACAGATTTCCCATAAATATGTAAGAATAACATGATATAAGAAATGCTAATAAAAAAATAAAAATAAAAAACAATGTCTCATCCTCTTTCATTAGTAGACTTCTTGTGGACCACAAAAGTAATGCACCACAAGGGGTAAACACAGATTTCATTTTATTTAACTTAAAGATTTCATTGATAGCTTAGATTCTTCAAGCCAATTCTATTTCAGCCACCCTGTACTTAGACATAAAACATAATATGGAATGCAAATAAATGGAATGTTTATGCATTGTGTGTTGACATGAAATATAACTGTACAAGATGTGCAGATGACTAATAGTGAAATAGTGATACTGTTGTACTGTGAGATAATGTAGTGATTAGGTGAAAAAACATGCATATATTCAGAGCAAAATGTTATTCTGAATATGAAGTGAACAAAAAAAATTTACAAGAAAAAGTCAATTAATAATACTCTAATAACTAAAATAATTTCCCTCAAATTTACCCATAAAATTTTAAAGAAGTTGAAAATCTAAATGCAGAATCTGCATGCAGACTTTTTCTTTATTATAGTATTTGCTATCGAATAATTTCTTTAGATAGCAGTGAAATAAAAATTTAAAATATGATAACTTAATTTAAACAACTTATTAAGAATTTAAGTTCTATCATTTTTATATTTGAATCACAAAAATTATAAACTGTAAAACAAAAACTCAATTCAACAGGAATTATTAATAAGTGATTATTAATAATTATTAAAATAAATTACAAATCTATTAATATATTTTTTATTAATATATTTTTACGATTTATATATGTTCTTATTATATACTATATATTTTGATATAACTAGGGACCACTATAATATAAATTTTTCAACTACATATAAAATTAGATATTTATACATAACTTTTTCATGATAAAGAAATATTTTGGAAAAATTTTAAAGTCAGACACTGAATATAATTTCTAAAATTATGATTAGACTAATTACTAAATTCAATATTTTAAGGTCCCTATAAATATCCTCTTAAATTGCACCTAATTACTTAGTTTTTTTTAAACCGGTGTATGGTCAATTAACATTTTTCTAAACTTATGAAAAACAATAGTACCAAATCACATTATTGCACACATTGACTTAATCAAGCATTTAACTTTATCACAGCAAAGACTGTTTTTCATAGACTTCAAACTTGGGTGTGCTTCTGTTCAACATGTAAACGTTCAGTCAAATATTTGTTACTGCTTTCACTTCTCTTCATGTTACTGAAATGTATAAAATATAAACATTTAATAAAACAATTAAGTAATAAATTAGTCAACTAGAAATAGTATTTGTGGTTATAAATTATATAATATAAATACAACAAATATAAATCAGGGTGCATAGCCAAATCATTCAACAAAAAATAAGCACCTTTTAAGTACTTTTCAAGCACTACGTACGTTAACAAAATAATTTTCAAAGACTTTTACATGATCACGAAAAATTTGCTAGTTTTTGACAAAGAACGCTTTTCCTGATTATATTAGCCACCATAAAACGATGGAGAGATTTTGCAGTTCAATTTCAGAAAGTGGAAAATGAAGCCTGAAATTGAGAATATCCTACAAAATGCAGCAGAGTTGCACATGAGAGTGCAAGAATTTCACTAAATCCAGCTCAGTAGATGCACATGCGGACCCGCAAGTATTTCATTATACAAGTACAATGATTGGTGCTTTCATACGCTACGGCCGATGGTATGACTAAATACATTGTGTTTGAATGAATGGTTAAAACGTTGAATAAAACAATGCGAAAACCACGCCCTTGCATAATACAGGGTTACTCATAATTCCCTCAGGGAAGGAACTGGACTATCACATTGATGTATGCCGTGTGACCAAAGGTTCACACATAGAACACCTGTAACCTAAGTAAATAAAACTTGAATAGTTTCAGAATAATTTCATATGTTTCTTTTTTTCATATTCTTCTTCTGTTTTTAACTATAACGCTTCGAAACCCCGGAGGGAATTATGAATAACCCTGTACATAGCGTAAATTGATATTGTAAAGAAAAAAAACTCATTTCCGAATAGGGAAAATTAATCATTTTTTAAAAACACGCAATAAAAAATGCACCTCTAAGGGCTTTTAAAAACCGAAAATCGAAAATAAGCACCTTGAAGCATTTTTTAAAAAAGCTACGCACCATGAAAAATACAATAAATATAAATACAAATGCTTAAGACATTAATAGCTTTAACAGTTAATTTTTATTTCGTTCCAATGCTAAATAATAGTTTGCAACTTTAGATTTAATACAAACAACTAAAATGCAGGTTGTTTTGGCAATTCAATTTTTTCTCAAAGTCAAACAATTTGTTATTTTGTTCTGATTCAAAATAACTAAATTTCATAATTCAAAAAACATTGTATAACATTAAATAACATTAATCATCAATTAATTATTTAAAGAAAACTTAAACTGCATTTTTCATTATTGAAGAAACCCAAGTTAGCCTTAGTAAAATATTTTTAAAAAATAGGAAAGATTTAAGATCTAAATTGAAGTCCTATCTAAAGATTTATAATTCAAATTTGCTAAATGAACCTTATCCCTCTCTAAATAAATGATAAAACTATAGAGACAGAGTTTAGTATTTATAGAAATGATAAATTTTTAAAGCAAACACACACACAGTCATTTAAGCTCATCTGATATATAAATTCTTTAAATATGCTTAATCAAGTCAAAAATTAAATTGACAATTCTAGACTTACTGTAAAAGGGAATCCATTGAATATGGACTAACTGATGATACAGAGTCAGGTATATCTTCTGTGCTGACAACATGTTTACTAATAGGAAAAAAAATAGATGTCATAAGAAAAAAGCTTTGAAATTGCACTGAAACATTTTACCATCAGATTCATGTCAAAACTTCTAAATTAATAATTTTTGTTTTCAATAAAAGCTGTTTATTACAAAATTATCCTCAGTTTTTCCCTTTTTTACTGTTTTATACCCTTAAATATTATAATTCATGCTTCGTTTAATTTGTTTTCTTTATTTTTATTCCTGTAATATAAAAATCAATATAAATTGCATGCATAAATTGTAAAAAAAAAAATAGTTCACAAAATTTTTAAAATTAAAACATACATCAAAAGCTGATAAATGAAACAATGTCATCATCTAAAAAATAACTATACGCCTCCAAAAAGTGGTCAGAAATAAACCTTTTAGGCTCAATTTAGTGAGTAGGTGCATCAGCTAAAATTCAGTAATTAGTTTCACAGCAGATCCATCAGCTATTAAACACTAATAATTCAGTTTAAATATTTAAAAAATGAATCATTAATATTCAACATCTGAAATAAGCATGCATTTTAACTTTTTAATTAACAGATGACAAAATAAAAACTTGCAATTTTCTGCAATATATATATATATATATNATATATATAAAATTTGACCTATACTAATTTTGATCATCACTATTTGCAAACAATTTAAATAAATGTTCTTCTAAAATTAATCAAATTTAGTTTACCTTAATTTTAATAACGCTTCACCATCAATTTTTAAAAATTCTGAGGAGCTAGGACTTTTTAACTTCTATGTATATATAGATATATATATATATATGCACACAATTGAACATGCTTATCTGGAACCTTTTTATCTCAAAAACCTCTGAATCTTGAAATTTCTAAAATTCCCTACATTTGTTATCTAAATTCAATGTATTTTTCATGTTTATGTGGAACATTTTTTTAAAACCTCCGTTTCTCAAATTTCTAATAATAGAGTACAAATGTCCAAGCAACATAACTTTCTTCATCAGTTGAACTTGCAGTCGGAGATGAATTTTGTGAATCCATACGAAGTAGAGGTGAACAGGTTGGGGGTGGGTGTTTCTTGAAATTTCGATCACTGTCCCTGCACTTCCTTAACTTGAAAAAAATACAATGATTCTGACAGTAAGTGAGGGATTGATGAGTAGGACGGTGTGACCACCATGGCTTAGCTTTTCAACATAGATAAAAAAGATAGGAATAGAAATTCATTTTCACCTCAAAATTGCAACCAATGGATCAAAGGATAATTAAGAGTTTTAAAGTGAGCTAAAGAAATCAGTTTGTATGCAAACTTGTAGATGCCGTCAATGAAACAAATTCTCTTCCAAAAATAAATGTGTTCAATGCTATCAGAATGACTTGGAGAAATGTGTCTCTAAAAATTATCCAAAATGATTTTAAAATGGATGGTTTTAAGAATAGCTGTGAAGATGATGAACAAGAGGTTGAAGGCCTCAGTAAAGTTAAAGAAGAAACTGTTGACGCTAAAAATACAGTGCCAGATTTGCAAGAATGGAATGCAATAAAATCGGGATTTAAGGTTGAAATTAATTTGGAAGATTTTTAAGAGTGGACAACTGCCTGGCACCATGCAAAACATTGACAGATGTGGAAATCATAGATAATGTCAAAAGAATATCAGATGAAGAAGTTGAAAATTATATTGATGAACCAAAAGTGAGAGCAAAGAAGCAGAAAAAGCTGTAGAACTCTTACAAACTTTTCTTGAACCCCAAGGAAATATTAGCTATGGGGGATTTGCTATTCTTTGTAAAGATATTTCAGTGTTAAATGTATGTTAAAAAAAATTATGTAAATAGATGTATGTGGTATAATTAACTTACAGAAATGCTTGTATTTTTCTACTAAAAACAATTAAAGCAGTTTTAATAGAATTTCTTAATTAAATAAAAAATTTTAAAGTACCGGTATAACTCGAAACCTCGTTATCTTAAATTTTTTGCCTTTCCTGTGAGATTCGAGATAAATGGGTAATATATATATATATATATATACAGTAGGGAACCGATTATCCGGAACGATCGGGACCATCACTATTCCGGATAACTGATTTTTCCGGTTTTCTGAATCGCTACAAAAAGCCGTTTTTTTATTGTTAAACCCAACTAAAAAAAATTTTTTTTTAGGAAATAATCTTGAAAAGAAGAAAAAACGATGAAGTAATACACTAATGATTATTTCCTAAATGATGGTAAGGTGAACATCTTTCAAAAAAGAAAGAAAAATCCTAAAATCTTATAAGGAAAAAAAAATTTTTGTTTAAAAAATGGCGGGAAAATTTATCGAATTTCGTTCCGGTTTTCTGGTTTTCCGGTTTTCTGATTTCCGGATAACGGGTTCTGTACTGTATATATATATTGTAAGAACTCCAGATGAAATTACAGTAAAAAAAATTCAGACACTTTTTACTGTATAATCCATTTTACCGGAACATGTTACAAAACAAAAAAAATCTGATTTACTGTAATTTTACCATTAATAATGGACGTGAAATTACTAAATTACTCGAATTAAAGATATATTACTGTAAAAGTTACGGCATAATATTTTACGATAAAAATGGATCTAATGATGTGGACTATGGAATGGATAAATATATATATATAAATAACAAAACATAAATCAGAAAGTTATGACTTTTTTAAATATAATCCAACAAAATATAAGAAGCAAACTTTACACATTTTGCTTTTTCTGTGCACTTATTTCTTTAATCCTTCAACTGGCAAGAACAAATATTTATAAAAACTATTAGCATACATTTTTGAATGGAAAAAGAAATTTTTCTAAAAACTGTTACATATTTTTGAGCTTTCCTTCACATTTTAGAGTGAAATACTTGAATGAAAACCCACTTTTAAGTCTATTGACTCAGCTAATAGTCAGAAGAAACTATAAAATTAATCTTATTTTAGATAAGTTTTATCAGAAGAATTCAATGAATTAATTCAAAAGAAGTAGAATTATTCACAATATTTAAAAAAATAATAATTTAAAATCAGTTCTAGAAATTACCTTTTAGCTCTGCAATATAGAAAAGAACACAACACACATAACACTATAATGAGTAGTATGATTCCTAATGTTCCCCATAATGATGCTTGATAGATACGTTTCTGATTTTGCCAAATTTCATACTCAGGTTGACAATAAGTAGTAGGAAAACTGAATTGACCTTTCATTAAAGTGGGCAAAAAGTCACTCCAGAACTGGCTCTCTTTCTGACGGTAATTAGACCTCATTACTGATGTAAAATTTGTAGTATTTATGAGTAAATACTGCATATTTTTAATATTTGCAGGTTCCCATGTAATATTAAAAACTTTGGCAGGAGTAGGATTTCTAAAAAGTAAAAAAAAAAAAAAGAAATGTCTATTAGTTTTAGTATTAGCACATTTTAATCAAAGATAAATTTACAATATAAGTCAACAAAGGTCAGATTGGGCCTTTGAAAATCCTCAAACCTGAAATACATGTAAGGCTAAATAAACTTGTAATATACGCTAATAAGCTGCTTTACTAGTTAATATTGCAGTGACAGAATCACAACAATACAGCCAGAATACAAAGTTCTTGCAGAAAGACTTTTCATTTGGGAAGTAAAAAAAGTTTGGTTTTATTTTCTGCATAATTTTTTTAAGAGAGGTTTTTTTTTTTTCTCTGCAGAATCATTTTCAAAAGATGCCTTTCTTGTGCATCAGAGGGGGGAGAAAAGCTTGTGATGCCTTGTTTACCTGATTTACTAGTTTGTTTTTATTTTTAACTACTAAGCAATTTTAATGCATAATACCTCATTTATATCACTACTTCATTAAATGATGAAAAGATATTGCGCTTTGATTTGAAGCATTGAGTACAAAAAATATATATACCCAAATTTAGCAAAATTTGCCCATGTCTGCATAAAAAGTTGACTGAGATTACGATCTGCTTCAGTCCATCTTGCTTCCTGCAAATTCAAGCCACTGGGAAACAACCTTGGATCCATAAAAGGAGAACCAGTGATAAGAAAATATTCAATGTCATGAGGAGTAACTGAAAACGAAATGTAACATAAGACATAAATAAATTCATATTGCTAATTGTCAAAAACATAGTTGAAAAAATTGCATAGTAGAAAAATACATAGTTGAAAAAATATTCATCAGTATGACTTAAATATGACAGGTTTCTTTGAGCTTAAATACATTTTAAAAAAACTGATGATTCAACTTATCTAAGGCATGCAATTAAAAATGTTAATTTTAATTTAAGAAATTTAGGTATATTTATTTAATCCTAATAGAAACTTTATTTTTGCTCGAAGAAAAATATGAGTTGAACAAAGGCTTTGTAATATTTTACTTATCAATCAAGCCGGTTGGGTGGCAACTCAAGCCACGAATAAGGTTAAATCCCCACAAAAGGGATTTCTACTAGGCGTCTTCCCTAACCGAGGGAGAATTCAACCAGAATGAAACTTGTACTGGCGAGATAAACATCTCGTGGAATCGGAAAAATCCGATTTGAATATATAATGCATAATCAGGAAAATTTTATGTTTATTTGTGTTTATGTTTAGTGTTCCTATTGTTATGTTTAATAAATATATAAAAAAGGAAAATTTGGAAAAATCACTACAACCTTCAATGGACAGGATATCAATATTGAATAACGCAACCTAAAGGCTTGATAAAATAAATATTACAGGCTTCAACAAACTTTATTAGAAAAATAAATTGTTTGTTTGATTTGTACACGGTTTTGGCTTGGTACATGCATAGTTAGTGCACAATTCTTTATAAAGCTTCAATACAATTGGGTAAAACAAAAAGTTCTTATTCTTCTATATGTCCTGAATTCAATCAAAATAAATTAAACAGATCTAAATTGGATTTTAAATTTTAATTCTTTAATAGATAATTGTCTTGAATACTAAACATTTTTACGAATAACAAACTTACTGTTCTTAAGTGGGTGATACGATCTCATTGATTCCAATCCTTCAAGGGAACCATTCAATACATAAGCATAAGTCCGTATATTTCGCTCAAGCAGAAGTTTCATCATCTTATTATTTGGAGCTACAAAGTAACTGTCAGACAGCATCTGAAAATATAGGGCAGACAAAACAATATTAAGACGGCGGTCATTAACTTTTTTTCTGCAGAAAATAGAAAATAAAATGCATAGAAAATAATTTTATAAGACAAAAGGGACAAAGCAACAATTTTATACAAGTAAAAATGCAATAATTAAATGAAATATTAAACATTGCTCTTAAAACTCGGTACTCATTTTTAAACTAGCAAAATTCAAATTATTTAAAATTGCAATTAAATAAAACTTAAAGAAGAGATATAAGAACATGTAAAAAAGATTTAAGGGAAGTCTTAATTTTGCCAAAAATAAATTTCACTTAGGTTTTTTTAGGTAAAAAATTCCATAAGAAATTTATACAAAACATACTAAAAGAAAATATGTTTTAAAGTGAGTTACAGAGTTTGCTACAAAAACAATTGATGGATATAGTTCCAAAACCAAGCAAATCTATTATCAAAAAAAAAAGAGTAAAATATCTTATTAACATAATTCTAAAAACTATAATTTGAATTTACAACTAATTCTCCCACAATTAAGTTATTCACATTCAGACAAGCTGTTAGTTTAAGCTTTAAACTGCACATATTTTAAGCTTTATAGTAAGTTGATAAATCAATTTATGTAGTTTTGAAAAAGAAATGTTAAAAAATGCTTAAATAATTTTCAAACAAAAATGCATGTACATAAATTATATACTAGAGCTACTCTAGGGCTAACACAATAGATCGAAGAAAAATATTCCTTTTCTCTAGCTGACCCGAGTCAAAACCTGCCCTAAACAATGACCCAACCATATTTGAAATAGTTATACTTCATTACCATAGTCACTACCACGGGTCCAGACGAATGGCTAGAGGAGTTCTTACTTTAGACAAACTATATATAAGCCTCTATAACTTTACCATATTACAAAGCATGTTTTTTTTATTCATTGTACTAATTTATATGAATCAAAATATTTTCAAAATATAAACTTACATTGATATAGCCCTCTCTAAGTAAAGTCTGATTGTGAAGATTTTTCTGAGCTGGCACATACATAAATTCAATAGCTTTGGTTAAACCAGCAATGTCAAGAGTATAGTTGAAAATTGATGAATATTCCTGAATTTTTTCCTTAAACTTCTTTACAGTGAGTACATAATTATTCTTTTTTATTTCAGGATCTACAACTAAAAAGAAAATCAAAAATAAACTCTTTTTTCCAGAGTATAACAGAACTAAGAAATATTTAATAAAAATACATAAAATGTTTTCCCTGTCTTATTACTTTTACAGCCATTACAAAATTTTGTAATAACTATTGGTGTACTGTTTTACTACTATTGGTGTTAAAAAAGAATGGATTGGATGTAGAATAGAAAATAATAAAAAATTCAAAATGACTTATTGAAAACATTTTAACTCATTAACAAACTTAGATCAATTTTAATTTAAAAGAAAATAAAGCACTTCCACACATTATTTATTTTTAGTTTAAAATATATAATTTAGTTTAAAAATCTTAAAAAGATAAAATCTCACTCTATGCTTAAACACTGATTCCGCTAGACTTAAGAAACCTTAGAACCCAGGACTACCAAGTATCTCAGTCCCTTTTTATTAAAGCAGGGGTATATGATTTTTCTAATCTCTTACCCATCTATTAATAAGGACAACCATAATAATGCTCTCTGTTAACAGCTAAAGCAAGATTTTTAAAAGAAGAAAAAGAGATATATATATTATATTTGAGCTATCCATGATTCCAATTAGGACTGATCAAACACCTGCAACAAGGAAAAACAAGATGTAATTTGATACTCAGAATTATTCTTATTTTCTCCCCACGTATGAACAAAGAAGTCGAATTCTCTTTTTATGTATGTAGATAAATTAAGTTTGGTTACAATTTTGCCAACAGAAATCTACTGAAAAGGTATTTTTTTTCACACTGGACAATTAAGCTTCTTGGAGAATGCCTCATAACTTGTTTTCACGTCCCCGTTACGAGTTTTTGGCATATTTAACGTCTCATAGTGCATATGAGGAATCACTGTTTAAATACTTATTTATGAACAATGTTTGGATGGTGACTGAAATAGTTGTTAAAATTTACAATAATAAATATTTTAAAATTACTCCAATCCTGCATAAATTCACTATTTTGTAAGAATTATAATAAGAACTATTGTTATCAGATCTCTCTTGCTCTCCTATCATTTTTAATTTTTTTGCACTTATTCTGTGCAATCCTAGAGTGAATTTAATAAATCAGCTTCTGAAAAGCCTTTTGTCAAATCTGATTGATAAACTGGTCATATGAGATTTTAGTATTGTTACAGATTTGTAAATATGTAATATGGCCTGTAATACATGGTTATATATGTAATATACTGTCTAAGTTGTTATATGGCCAGTATTTCAATAATTATTATATTCATGAGTGCATTTTATTCAATCTCATTGTTAAACAATTTAATTAAATTCCATATTTATGGCACTTTAATTTTTAAAAAAAAAAACTTCAAACTGAGATCGGTTAGCAGAATAGTTTTGTTTCTATGATGGAAAGCAGCTCCACCACTGCATTGATAGCCACTTCACTCAACCACAGATGAATCACCCAGTGATCCACAGCCAATAAACAGAAATCATTAACAGTGCAGTTGCAAAAGTAGGGGCAACAGAAGTTTTTCCTTTCATTATTCACTCAGATAGTCCTGACCTACCATATAATATACAGGAAGAGGGAATTCTTTCCACTGGGTGGCATTTTGATTTTTTCTCCCGGGAGAAACATTGTCAGATATGGATACATATTTTTCTTAAATATAGTATTTCTTTTCCCCCTTAAGTTTCACTTATAAGTGCCTAGTTTTAAATTTATATTATGTTTAAATTATATCTGTCCTGATTTTTTGGTAATTGCCATGTGCACAAACTTTTTACTAAATTGTTAAAGCTATATAATATAGATCATTTTTATCAATTAATAAACTTAGTAACTGTAATAATGTCGACTATTATTTTAGCTTTAATTAACATTTTCTAATTAATTCTTAATTATATTAATCTTTCTTTTTCAAGTTAAACATTCGCTTGATAGATTATCTTTTCTTCCCCTTATGTTGTATCCTAAGTTTAAATCGATACGATCACAATGTTAATCATAAATAATAAACTTTTGTAGTGAAAATCATAAGTTTTCATATTGAAAATTTATGGATACAAAAACTATCTGTTTTAAGCTTCACCTGGAGAAGTTTTCTGACTGCCCTACTGGCCCACTATAAAACAAGCTTTACAATCGTACTGATTTTCTTTTGAGAATTAGATAAAATATTGCTGTAGCTTTTGAAATAAATCTTTCCAGGAAATTATAATTTGTTTCGTTTAATGGCTTGTGGCAGGCTTCTCTTCCAAATAAACCTTACGTCCAAAACTATTGACAAAAAGAAATTAATTTGATTGATATTAATGTGATTATTCTGAGTATTCAGATAACTTTGTATTCATTTACACTTACGAAACATAGTAGCTGCTTCATCTGTTGTTACACCAGCCAGGTAAGAAAAATCATCATGCAGATTTTCATAATGAGTTCTAAGCATGTTTTCTGGTGAATCAGGCAAAATTCTTTTATTTCTCTCACGTGTACAGAGATCAATTACGGGATTCCACGACAACCATCCTGTCTTAGGCTAAAAAGAATATTACATAATTCTTTTTTGTTACTTTAGTTATTAAAGAACACTGAAACAAGCTATGTTTTAATTGTTTGTTACGACTTACTATTTTGCAGCTTTGTTTATTAAATGTAGTTTCTCTATAACTACTATTTATATCAGAATTAAATAAAATTTATCAATAAATAACAATAAACTTAAGTCTACATTTTATAACACAATGATATAAGCCCAGAAGAAATAGCTTTTTTTCAAATAGGTCCCCATCAATTCTATATGACAATCCCCAAATTGAAACATATAATTCCAACAGTCTAGTGTCGTAACCTAATGCTATTTTTACATTTTGCTATAACCTAATGCTATTTTTACATACTTTATATAAAACCATCTGTGGGATTCAAAAATCTTTCTTATATCATTTAAAGAATTTTTTATTCAAAGATAATTTAAGATAAAAAAAATAATTTTCTACAGTTATTTATGATTTTTTATTATCTAATATAATAATGATCAAAAACCCTTTTGAATTAGTAATAAAACTATAGAAATTTTTACATTTATTAAAAGTATGTAGTTTGTTTGTTTTTTTAAAAAAAAAGCTAAATTAAAACTTTGAATAAGTTAACAAATTAATTCAAAATAAAAAAATTTTGTTAATTTTTATAGCTCAAAGTTTTCATAAAATTTCTCTGAAATTTTTGAACTAAAAACTTATTAACCTAAAACAACAAAATGTAATGCAAAAAAAATTATTCTTTGTGGTCAAATATTTGGCAATCATTATTAAATTAAACAATTAATGTTAATAAAAATATTTGTTATACAAAATTATCTTCGAAAAAACAAATTCAATAAAAAGCGGAAAATGTCTGAATTCCACAAAAGTTCGATAGATATAGTGAACAAATAGTAGAAAGAATGATCAAAGACTTAAGTCTTTCAACTAGTCTAGTAGTCTAAACTACTGATACCATATCTTGCAGATTGAAGCATCCCTTCTTAAGGGTCAAAAATGTATATCTGTTAAAATAAAAATATTTTTATTTTGGAAAGTATATTCTGATTTTGTAACTTTAATCACAATCTGTACTAATTAATAGAGATCTTAAGTTGGCCTCTTCTAGACCAAAGATAAGCTATTTAGAATATCAGATTATGTTGAAGCACAACTTTTTATTATAATAAATTTATTACACAGTCAACATAAATGAAATAGTGTTATAAAAATTTAGTTTTAACTTAATTTTTACTAAAACTAGCAACTACATTTAGCTCATAAAATAGAAACTTAATACAACTCATACAAATCATTCAAATACTTGATAAAAACTAAATAAAAACGTTTTCAAATACTAAATATAAGATCATGATATAGACATGATAAAAGTTCTTTTTTATTGAAACTCTCATATACCTCAAATAACTTTGTTTCAAATAAACTTGAAGGCAAACTCTGCAAACAAGAGACAGTTCTCCATGATGATTGGAAATAGCAATTTAGCAATAATGCATACTCAATACTGTTGTTGAACACTGTATAATTGCTTTTGGTGACAGCCCAGTCAGCAACAGCAGATCCACTTTGAGCAATAACTCGACGAATTTTTTCTAAAAGACAATAATTACAAAAACAAGGCATTAATTAAAAATCAATATTTTAAAAAGGTCTAAAAATTAACAGAACAAGAAACTGAATTCAAAACTACAATAAGTGTTCGAGATGCAATGACTTTAACAGAGCTTTAAAATCAACCAGCCGAACCTCAATACCATCAACTTGAATAACATATGGTTTTTGATGTCACAAAAAATCTCCCTATATGTTTGCTGTGTTGGTAACAGAAAAACAACTCATTTTGGCTGAATACATTTCTTGGTGATCCGTGATTTCTTAAAATATATTTGATCACCAAAAAAAGCTATTTTTTTTTCCTAATTTCTGGAGCAATTTAAAATTTTTTCTTAAATTCCAATCCTTAAATACTATTCTTTAATGATTTTATGAAATTTTTGAAGCCCTAAGAGTGGTGAAGATTTGAATAATAAAATCCAGTTAAACCAATAAAACCTCGCAGTTTTTGCTTATCTCGAGGGGGAATGGCTCTTTTAAAGGTTTCAATACTTTTTTAGGATTTGGCATCACCTCACCTTCTATAAGTCTAAGATATGTTACTTCATTCTTTAGTAAGGAACACTTCTTTGGCTTAAGATTTAGATTTGCCTCTCTGAGACAGTTAAGCACAATACATAGTTTTTCAATATGTTCTTTCTTCAAAGGTTCGACTTGCAGTGATTACATCATTAATATAGCAACCAATGGATAAATCAGTCAAGTTAGCAAGTACAAAGGACATTAACTGCTCAAAACTAGAGCTTGCATTCTTTAGGCAGAAAGGCATGTATTCAAAGTTTCTATGTTTGGGTGCAATACCTGTTAAATGAGCATGATCAAGATGCATTTTCATTTGATGAAAACCTGAGGTTAAATCTAACGATGAAAAGAATTTTGATACAGAAACTAGGTCTAGCATTTCCATTAAATTTAAATAGGAAAATTATTGGATTAGGTTTTAGTACTTAGCTTTCTTAAATCAGCTACTAATCGATATGAACCACCTGCCTTCTTGAGTGGCATAACTAGAAGTGGAAGGCTGAATAATTCCTGCATCCAAAAATTTTTTAAGCTGATTCCTCATTTCCGTCTTGAAGTGATACAGTACATGATAAGGTTTTTGCCAAGCAGAAACATCATCAGTTAATTTAATGTGATGTTCAACCAAAGAGCAAGATCTTAACTTATCTCATTAGCAAAAACATTTTATACACCAGAAAAAGATCAGAAACTATTCATCTATATGTGACAAATTAATTCTTTTTAGAAAATCTTCATTATTGCCTGTAATAGTATTTATCACTGAATTCTGACGACAATCTATTTTTTCAACAGTCAATCTTTACTCTTGCTAATTTTATAATATTTATTAAAAGTAATTATATCTTCAGTTTGGTTAATGATTTGAATAAGGCATGCTGAATCATCCCTAGCAAGTTTACTTGAATTAGATATTTTTATATAAACATTAAACAGAGATTGCCATATTTGAAAAGAAATTGTTTGAATTATCTTTTCTTAAATAAGTGGACTTTTAAGATATGTATGCATAGATAAGAATAAGTTCCCATATGGCTAGAAAAAACTTGCTAAGTAAATAAATTTGAAAGAAACTTATATTTATGAGGAAATAGTTACTGTGAGCAATAATGTTAAAGTATATGATTGGGAAAAATCAGAAATATTAAATGAAGTAGTATCATCTAGAGATATACCAGAAGGAGAAGATGATAGAACAGAATAACAAAAATGAAATTAAATGAAAGAGCGAAAATATTGACAATGTAAGAAGTATCTATTTTTTTTTTTAAGTAAATACATGTTAAACCACTTATAAAATGTTAGTACATTTATTATTATAATTCTCTCGATTAAACTGTTAAAAAAAACATTCAATATTTGATTTTTGATATCACAAATTTCAGATATCACAAAATTTTTAGTATTACTCCTTAAGTTTATGATATCAAAATTGGACTGTATAAAGATAACAGTTGTATAATATATTTTCTATTAATCTTAGTTTTTATAATAATTGAAGTAAGCACTAAACAACTAAACAGTCATAAATAGAAATATATTTTAATAAATTTCAGCATAAAACTTTTTGAAAATGATGTTCCATTGAAAATAAATTTAGATACAATCCTCAAATAACATCAATGATTTCGAAAAAAATATTATTTGTATAGATTTTCTGTTGCAAATCGTAAAAAACATAATAATAAAAAGCAGAACTTACTTCCTAATCTAGCAGACAATGCATGAATGCCAGCACTAGCTGCACCAGAACCAGGACCAAACAAAGTTATTCTTTCATTATCTCCATTAAATGCTCCAATATTGTCATATACCCATTCAATTGCCAAAGCCTGATCAAACAAACCATAATTTCCAGGAGAGGATTCTTGTCCATTTGCATAAAAGCCTACAATAAAAAAACAGAGTAAGTAATAATATATATTGCAATTTAATTACAATGATATAATTCTGATATACCTGGATATTTAACTAAGTACTAACAAAAGAAAACAAAATTATAATAGAGAAAATAAACATAAAATGATCTACCTGGAATAATTCATTTTTACATAAAAGTCTTTTCAATTTATAAAAGAAAAATGAAAAGCATAATACTTTGCTTAATATTAAAACATGAGAATAGAAAAACTTACCTAATGCTCCAAGTCTGTAATTGAATGTTACAACTACCACACTTTGAGAAGCAACCAACATATGTGCCGGAAATGTTTTACCACTCCCGTGGTGCCACTCTCCACCATGAATATACACCATAACGGCATATTTTTCATTCTGTCCCTTAACCTGTAAAAAAAGCAAAAACAATCATCAGCAAATAACTATAAAACCTTACAAACAACTCATATCAATAATGCTGAAACAAAATAATATTTGTTTAAACTTTAAACAAAAGTGCTAGCAACCAGGATAGTTTGCAAAAGCAATAACATTCTTTTACAAAGGCAATATAAAACTGTAAAATGCCTATTGAAATGAACCCAAGCTTAACTAATTCAGGAACAAAAAAAAAAGAGCAAGATAACCAAGATGATTAAATATTATTAAGAAATCATCATATTTCTTAAAAAATTTCAGTTATTAATTTTTCTTAAAAAATGAAAAAAATGAGAAAATTATTATGTATACTGATAAACTGTAGCAACTTTATAACTGATATAATATTCTATTAGTTTTTCGAATCATCTTGTCAATAAAAAAAATAGAATTCTACTTGACATTTTTTTAGGTTTAGCTGTCTGGGTCAGTGTTATTCTAAAAAAAAATTTGGAGAGTAATATCAATTTTTAATTTTTAGAGAGTGAAATTTAAAATTGTGAAGGGAACTGTAAAACAAAGATTAAGCTAGTGAATTACCACTAACAAAGATTATACTATAATTAACAGATAAAACATACAAAGTAATCACCCTAGAATTATTGATTGACTATTTAGCCAAAAAACAATGCTTCACATTATTTAGAATCCTTCTTCATTATGTGCAAGTTAATTAGACCAAGATATCTAAAGAATATTTACTAGAAAAATATATGAAATATAAGTTTTTCTCCACAAATTAAAAGTATGTACAAAATTCTTGTCACAATTGGCTCCTTAATTGGTAGCATGAAAAGGGATTCCATCACAAAATAATGAGGAAATATAATTATTATATTCTTCACCAAACAATGCTAGTTTTTTAAATTTTATCCTATTTTAACTAAAAAATTCTCTTTTACAAACAATTATGGTTCTTGGCAGTGTTAAAACAATATCTATTAATATATTTATTCCATCACAAGACAATGAGGAAATATAATACAGTCAAACCTATTTATCTCAAATCTCAAGGGGAAAGGTGAAAAATTCGAGATAGAAAGGTTTCACGTTATACAGGTACTATAAAGAAATTAAATTTAATTAAGAAATTTGATTAAAAGTACTTTGTTTTTAGTAGAAAAATATAGACATTTCTTTCAATTAATTATACCACATACATCTATTTATATAACAGTTTTTTAACATACATTTAAAACTGAAAATAATAAATAAGATTTTTGACTGATAACCTTATTTGTTTCAATTATTCTTTTGAGGTTAGAAAGATCGCAAATTCCTCATAGATCGTTTTCTATAGTTCACTTTAAAACTCTTAATTATCCTTTGATCCACTGGCTGCAATTTTGAGGTCAAAATGAATTTCTATTCTTAGCTTTCTTATCTATTTTAAAAAGCTAACCCCTGAAGGTCACTACTTATTAACCCCTCACTTACTGCCAGAATCATTGTATTCCTTTCTAGTTAAGGAAGTGCAGGGATAGTGGTTGAAATTCTAAGAAACACCCCCAACCTGTTCATCCTTACTTCCTGTGGAATCACAAAATTCATCTCTGTCTACGAGTTCTGCTGATAAGGAAAGTTTTGACATTTGTGCTCTATTATTAGAAATTCGAGAGATGAAGTTTTTGAAAAAAAAAATCGACATAAAGATGGAAAATACATTTATTTTAGACAGTAAATGTAGGGAATTTTAAAAATTTTGAGATATAGAGGTTTTCGAGATAAAGAGGTTCGAGATAAACAGGTTCAACTGTATTATATTCTTCACCAAATAATGCTAGTTTTTTAAATCTTATCCTATTTTAACTAAAAAATTCTCTTTTACAAACAATTATGGTTCTTGGCAGTGCTAAAGCAATATCTATTAATATATTTATTTAATAAAACGTTTATACAATTCATTATCAGTTATACAATCTTTTCTTCTCTACCATTTACCAGATGTTCAAAATTCCTATCACAATTAACACCTTCATTTGTGGCATAAAAAGGGATTCCATCACAGGACAATTTGGAAATGCTATCTAAATTGCTCATGCCTAAACAAAGCTTGCATTTCAAATATTGTCCCCTTTTTCAGTTGCAAATTCATTTCCACAAACAGCTGTAATTATAGGCTCTATTAAAGTAATAGCAATTAATTTCCAAAATTCAGAATACATGAAAGGAATGCCTTTGTCACCCTCTTTACACTCAATGGTTAATTACTCACTAATTGACTCTCAATGAGATTTTCTTCAACAACAAGGAAAAAAGGCTAACAATTTTAACAAAAATTTTCCAAAGTGTACTTTAATTTTTGGTAAAATTTTTGATGAATAAAAGTCAAAACAGATGCATAAAATATGAATCCAGATGTGTATTGGTGAACTCTAGTCTTTCCCATACTCTTATGTAACCGAACTAAAATCATGTGAAAAAGTATACTAATTAATTATAATAGACTCTGTTAATTTATACATTTCAATAAAAAGTCAAAAGTAGATTAAAATAAAGTGGTCGGAACTTTTAGAAGAAAATCTATAATTAAGTTATTCAGTTATTCCACTGTATGAGTTAAAAATTTTATACATCATTAAAAAATTTAACCAACAGACAATGCCTTTTATAAGCACAAAAAGAAAATTGCATTGGAAACTTAGCATGCTAGATATCAAGACAGTTATTTTCAAGTGTTTTTATCAAAACTGTTCAATAAAATAATATTAAAAAATAACAATATTAATATTTTAGGGCTAACTTGAAAACAAACACAATATAATGTTACACTTTCATTTTATTGTTGAAACTAAACAAATGCTTTTGACCTTTTTTCCATTTCAATTATGCAGTAAAAGAATTTTCAAATATATTTTTTACTTTGGATAACTCATGTTTAAAATGTAGGTAAATTTTATTGATGCTCAAAACAAATTTTTGCTGTCAAAAAAGTTTTATAGCTTAAAAACTTGTTGGATTACTATACATTATTTTCAATGTGTTAAAGCAAGAAATAATTCCTGATTTGTAATTTTAGTGAAATTTTTGTTTCATTGTTTATCACAAACATCTGGTTTATAATAGTAATTGAAAACAAATGAAAATTTAGCAAAACTGTCTACCAATGAACTAAGCTTGTTGAGGCAAAACCAAATTTCATCCCTGCAAAGAAGGCCCTTTTTTCTCTATGTAATTAAATACAAAAATACTTATCAGCTCAGGAAATTGCTTTTTTATAAATTTTCACATATAATCCAACAGTTAACAGTAATAAAGAAATCCATATAAAATTTTTATTAACAATAAAATAAGATTAATTACAAAATCATTTTTAAAAAGTCAAGAAAATAATTCAAAAATACTTACGGATGGTGAAAATACATTTAAGTTTAGACAATCTTCAGAAGTATCTGTAATTCCAAATTTAATTCCTGTATACTGTGGATGCTGTAAACAAGCACTTCGATATTGTAAAGCATATTTCGATTTGAATGATGGTTGCACTTGAGGTGGCTAAAATAAGATAATACTTTTTACTAAGTATGATAACAATGAATTAGATTATAGACTTTTAAATTACAAACGCATCTTAAGTGAATTTAAACTTCAAAGTAATGAGTTCAAGGATAAAATTGTACCATTAAGAAACATGGGGAAAACCAATTTTCTAAATACACAAAAGCCACCAGCTTAAAATTTAGAAGATAATTAAGGAGTAATGCTCAGGGAGTTACCTTATGATAAAGATTTATTATTAAATTTCTGTAGCGTTTTATTTTAACTCTTTTTGGAGTTAATAACACAACATTATGAGTTAATAAAACTTTCTAGAAGAAACAACACTAATCAGTACTGATGTAAAATTATAGAAATGCTTCACAATAAATTTCGACATAAGTGGCTTGACAACATATTTCTTCTATTGCTATGAATGCTAAAAAAAAATTTCAAAAACTAATAAAATAAAATTTATTTTTAATTTTTTCTTTTTTTACAAAAAGTAGCATATACAAAAATGTCAAATATATAAAAATATCAAATTTGAATATTTTGTCACTTATGTTGATTTTTCTGTTGCACAGCTCTGTTCTAGGTATCTGGATAACTAATTTAATGCTTCACGCTTTAAGCCCTGGAGGACGAAAAGTGGTAGCAAGAGAAAGCTTAAAGTATCCAAGTAAGGTAAACTATATAAGTTTCTTTGCAGGGAATTCACAAAACTATTTATTTAAGAATAAATCATGTAAAACATATCTAAGGCTCGTTTGCCCCCCTCCCCCCATTGATCTACATTGCCCAGAGAGGTAAAGAATATTTCGATTAATTTTGAAGTTATGCAGAGAATATTACTGCACTAAGAGTGAGACTAGCATTTTACTTTTTTTTGGCATGTGATGAAAGTGGCGGCAATAAAAATATGCCAAAATTGGTTAGCAATGGAAAAAAAATCATGTCAGAGAGGAAATAAAACTACTTTCCTTTTTTCTCAACAGAGAATCACTGTTAAACATAATATAAATGCCCATTTAAAGGTACAAATGAAAAATAAATCCTGCATGGCTAAAAAAAATAACAAAAATGCAATTAATAATTGATTAAAAAATAATTTGAGAACTAATCAAAACTAAAATTCCACATCCTTTTCAAAGATAAATTAATAGAATCAACTCTTGCACATGCACATATCTATGATGCTGCTTAGACTTTTTAAAAACACAGTTAGCTCAGGTTAAAAATTTTAAAAAAAAAAAAAAAAAAAAAAGCATCACAGAAAATGAATTAAAATGTAACTTCACAAGTAAAATATAGTTATTAAATACAAAATAAAATACAACATAAATAAGAAAATCTTCTAAAAAATTTAATTGCTTTTCTTTTTTTTCTAGTGATATAAAAAAAAATCTTCGACATTATTTCTAGACCATTTTAAAAATAAATAAAAATTAAGTAATGAAAAAGCAACTATGTCCCAAATCATAAAAAGAGTTATCAAAAATTAAAATATAGTCAGTGTTCAATATAACGCTACCTACAGTCCAAAGAAATATGCATGTTAACATAAGGTTGCAATAACGTGACTACTCAAAACTATAGCAAATATTTACTCACAAATACTAAACTTATTACAGCAAAACCAATACCAATCTAATCAATTCACTTTCTTCAAAATTTTGAAAGTCTGTTCGTAGCATATGGTGCTATACTAGTTGGGAACAGCTTTTTTCGCTTAATAACACATGCCCAAAAAACTGAGAAGTCTAACCAAAAATAAAATCATGGAGAATATGAACAGTAAATGTTTTATCACCTTAATAAACTGACTACTACAATACAACACTTCAGAAAAAAAATGAAGATAGTTTTCACAGATAAAAATCAGATTAATTTGATGTTAAAATAGCATTGTGCCGATGGAATAGCGATCTGTAGATGAAGGAATGGATGTATGAATAAACGGGTGCGGCATATGTGTGTGGTCGAAGTCGAATTCTTGGCTATAGATTGCGCCACTGAGAAACAAGAACAATCGCACCCCCTCTGCTATAATGGCCAACAACAGGAAATATATACTTAAATTAATATAAACTACGAATAAGTGCTCTGTGAAAATCCTGTAGAACTAATGACATTAAAAGATTAAAATCCACTGTCGTTTATGGAAAGTATAAACATATCAACTGGTTGAAAAAAAGTACATTAAATTGAAACGTTGTATAAATTTGACTATTACACCTCGTTTTAGAGTACAATCAAAACATTTTTCATACTAAATATCAAAACATATTGCTACCAATTTATATAATTTTACACATGTGTCCAAAATAGTAACAGAAATCTGATGATTAATACTTTTTTTTGCATTCCTGTAATTACAGAGATTTCATACATTAAATTGAAACGTTGAAAAAATTTGACTATTACACCTCTTTTTAGAATACAATCATTACATTTTTCATACTAAATAGCAAAACATATTTTACAAATTTATATAATTTTACACATGTGTTCAAAATAGTAACAGAAATCTGATGATTAATACTTTTTTTTTTGCACACCTGTAATTAAAGAGATTTCATACAATCATAACTTATAGATGATGGTAATTTGATTAGAAATGCTCTAAACAATATGTACTTTAACTAAACTTAAAATAAATTAATAATCAATAATTGAGCCATTCTTTATACCTGGTTGAAATTATTACATTTCAAATGGGGTTGAACATTTTTCGCTGAGAATTGATGAAAATATTAACATGTTAAAACTTACCCTAAACCTTAGCTCTTGAGTTGGAGGCAAAGCATATGGAATACCTAGAAACACAGTTATATTTTTATAGACTTTAGGTGTTTTGGCGTATTTAGAATTGGGTCTGTCATATTCAGATTGTCCAGGTCCATCGCAAAGAAATACATAGGTACCAGTAACATCACCTAAACTTAGTCGAACTGTAACGGAACTATCTAAATTGTAAGTTGGGCTTCTATTCCCCACACAGCGAGAATCACTGTACTCAGACTCGTATCCAATTCTAATAGGATTTGAACGATCCATAAAATTGTAACGATCACCAGGATAATATCTATCGTTCGAGTATTGACGATCTCTTAAATCATCATTAAATATCCCTGAATAATGATTCCTTAAAATCTGGCAATTAAATTGAAAGGGAAAAACTAATATGATGAAAGAGTAAACGGAATAACTGGTTATAAAATTCATTTTCAAGTAATCATAACAAATATTAATAAGACATTTTGATTCTTGGATCAAGGTTCATTACAGGGTAAACAAACAAAAACTAATATATATTGAAGTTGAATTTAAAAACCTTTTACTCGCAAAGAATTGTGACGAACTCTATCGGTTGAGAAAAACTCTATAATTATCTACTAATATGAACGATAAACTGTAAAAACCGATTGAACCGTTTCTACCGAAAGAGTTACAGTTCAGACCGCAGCTCAAGTCGGAGGTAGTACTATGTTCGCATGTAATCTTCAGTATGCAGGTAAACCGTATAAGAGTAAGCACAGATGGCGCTAGTAGTAAAATAAACTGGCTGCTTTTTCTTTCCGTTTTTTTTTATTTCCTTACGAAAGGTGGAGTTGCGGCTTTTCATCGACCCCGACTAGATTTCCGGTTTGATCGTTCAGAAACTGAAATTTAATTTTCTATACATTCTTATTAGTTTCTTCTTATTATTTTAAAATGAATAGAAATACAATGAAAACTAGCTATAAATTAATTCTCAAAGTTTAGTAATTTACTCGAACTTGGTAGATTTAAAATTGTCCACAATAAGTGGGAAAATATTTAATTAATTTCATCATTTATGAACAATGCGGAATTAATAATCTCGCCTCTAATTATGTTATTAATTAATTTGTTTCGAAAAGTGAGAGAAAAAAAATTTCATCCCTTTCATTTCTTGCTACAAAGAAAGAGAAATGAATTATTATGTATTTCTAAAATTATATACTTATTGATGATTTTATTTGTTATAACTTTTTCTGACATTTATACGAAAAATGTAAATATTTCTATAATATTTAAGACTTCAGTAACTGACTCTTTCAGAATTTTCAGAACTAATTTGAATCTTTCAGAAATTTATATTTGAGTGATGAACAACAAGAAGGAAATAGCTTACAATCATTACTAGGGTGTTTTCATCTGCACCCGATCACTGTTTTCAGTAACTGTTAATGATTATACTAATAGAAAAATCGTAATTTTTTCATTTTGTGACGAAAAATTAACTTCGAATTGACCTTCTATTTAAAAAATAAATAATTTACATCTTTCTTCTTAAATATCAAAGAAAGCCGCTTTTCGAACCAACAAGAGGATGACATTTTCTTTCTCGCTCTGGAAAAGAAACACATATTACTTTTTGGAACCGGTTGAAGATTTTTTAATGGTAAAGAAGATTTAGAAAAATGCTTATCAATACTTAGAAAGTGAAATTGTTAAAGGGAACTGCCCAATACGTGTTCTCTATTTAGATTCTCTTAACGTATCTAGAGCTTCCTTCTCCTCCCTGCTTAGATGTATGAGAATGTATAACGATGTTTCCTCCATGTTTTCGCATTTAGATTATCAAAATACATTTAAAATTTCCTTATTGCTCACATTAAATACTATGATTAATACAACTACTTTTATATGCTTATCTTTGTATTCAATGTATTCTATGTTCTATACATCTTCATATTCTATGTTTAATTCAACATTCTTTATAGTTTCCAAGCTTAAAAAAAATCTTATCAGTAACGAAATCAAGGCAAAAACTAACGTACTTCCTACTCTTACGACTATTAACTCGCTAATGGTAAAGCAGGGAAGCTATCCCCTCTGCAGATTATCAAAATTGTGATGGTATGCCTTCGGACCCCAAGGATGGTTCCCAGACCGTCACCGATCCCTTATGAAAAAATCGAGGTATAAATGAAGTAGAAATGAGGTATATTTTAAAGGTATAAAGGAGGTTGTTATTTAAATACGTCGTTAAGGTTGAAAAGGGTGCAAATGAATACCTCAAAATCAACCTCAAATATACCTTAAATATACCTCCAGAGGTATATATGTTTCAACCTGAGATGTTTAATTTTACATCTGTGGAGAGGTAGATATTTACTACTTTAAAGTGTTTCATTTTCAACCTTGGGCAATTACTTATCAGCCTGAAGTATATTTTTCTACATTTGTGGATGTATTTATTCAACAACCTAAGGTATGTCATTTTACACTTCAGGTTATTATAAATCAATCTCAGGTGTATTTTGTTCTACCTCAGGTATCTAATTTTATGCTTCTAGAGGTATATATTTTTCAACCTAAGGTGTGCCATTTTACACTTCTGGTTGTTATAAATCAACCTGAAGTGTATTTTCAACACTTGGAAAGGTTATTTTTTATTAACGCCATGTGTTCCGTGTTCTACCTTAAGTTATTATTTCGTGACCTCAAGTTTATATTTTTAAAAAGTATTAATTTATCAACCAAAGATGCGACATTTTGCACTTTAGGCTTATGTTGCTCAACCTAAATTTTTTTAGCACTTACGAAAGTGAGGAGTTATTCGGACCACCTAGTTTATTTATTTTTAGACTCACTATATAAAAAATATAATATATATATAAGGATATTATATATATTATATGAAGAATAATGTATATCATTACATTTTTTTCACTAGTAGAGATCATTTATCAACCTGAAGTTTTTAATATAAAACCTTCCGCAGTAATTGCTTCTTTTGTTAAGCTATAAAAGAAAGTTTCAAATGCATAATTCTTCTATAATTTTAATAGATTGATTTAAATCATCTTAAAATAACACTTATCCAAATTCTACAGTTAGTAAAAATTATTTATGGGAACTCATACTCGTATTTTTAGAAGATAGTTGTCTAAGGTG